TCCTAAATAAGCCGACTCTTTCTTTAATCCAGTCCATAACAGGGTAGCAATTAACTGTTCAGGACATGAACGTATTAATATAATATTTATTACTCAATACATTTACAATCCTAATATGAACTTATATGGCATTTGATCCTTTTAATATAAAAAAAGAAAAGATCTGCCATCATGATCAGTGTAAGCCAGTGTGAATGGTGAAAGACAAATGCAATCTTGGCTGCTCAATAATAATGCAGTTATGAATATTTAGTAGAATGCACAATTGATAAACATACCATAAGTAAGGCTTTGATTTCAGTCATGGTCAGAGGCATTTCGGGATCTGCTTCATCTTTCAACTTTAGCAAAACTTGCAAAAAGTCTTTGATTTCTTGGCCAACACCATTTCTGTCCAATTTTTGTCTTTGATCAATCATGCTCTCAAATATCTTATCAAATCGCTTTGCCAACACCTTCATCTTCTTTATAACACCCTGGAAATCAAACCAAGCCAAGCCTGGGTAAAAATCGGAAAGATTGGGAATACTGACCAACTGAGCTATCCCAGTCACAACATGCCTAAACTCCGCTCCAATACTAGCTCTTTCCTCACCCTTCACTGTACCACCCCATAACATGCTTGTAATCACATTAAGAATAGTCAAGAACGTCTGTTCACCAACATTCACTGGTAAACCCTTCTGACTATACAAGTAATTGATCGATTGTCTAACCTCCCTTCTCCTTAGTGCATACACCGAATCTAAAGTAGAAGAACTAAGCATATCGCGAACACAAATTTTCCTCAACATGCGCCATTTCGGTCCATAAGGAGTCCAAAGTATGTTTTTGCCACCATATGAAAATTCGCTTCCAGCAGCAGGGACATCTCTGTTAGCAAAAATGGTATCTTTATCCTTAAGAACCTCGCGAGCTAAAGCAGGAGAAGTAATAATAATTCCAAGTTTTTTACCAAGCCAGATTCTACAAATGGGGCCATAAGTTTGGGACAGAGATGCAAAATAGGTGTGAAGTTGAGGATCAAGAGAATGAAGATTACCTATCAAGGGCAAAGCTTTAGGCCCTGGTGGCAATCCCTTGATTGAGTTTCTGATAAAAAACCAAAGCAAAGCTAAAAACCCAAGAAAACAGGAGAAAAACACACCCTTTTGCTCAACATTGAGTTGTTGAAGAGGCCATGGGAAAGAATCAAAACGGGGTTTGAAGAATTCGAGAGACATCTCAAGCTAAAAGATTTTTTTTTGTTTTTATTTTTCTGAAAGAATGAAATGAATATAAATAGACCAAAACGAAGCAGACACCTCCTGAAACTCGTGATGTTACTTGGAACGGACCAAATTTGGCATTTTGTTCATCATTCAATTTTGGGCAACTTTCACATATAGCAAACAAAAAATTCATAGTTGTATGCTATAGCAAACTTTGCATAATTGCGCTCCATAGCAAACATAAAAACTGTATAATTCGCTATACATATACAAGTGTATAATTCGCTGGCCTAAATTGTATAATTCGCTGGCCTATTTCCCTGCAATTGTATAATTAGCTTTGCATACAGTTGAATCGAATTAAAATGTATGTATATTGCATAATTATAAGTGTATAGCAAGAAGATATATGTTTTTCTCGCTTTATACAAAAACAGAAACACAAGATATACACTTCTGTTGTATAAAGCTAGAAAAAACTGTATTTCACTGCAATTATATAATTCACAATTGTATAATTCTTTGGCATTTTTCTCTGCAATATTTGAAGTAAAATGTTTGTAAATTATATAATTAAGCGTATAACACAAAGATATACATTTTTGCATGTGTATATACAATTTTCTCTCGCTTTATACAAAACAGAAACAGAAATTATACACTTCTGTGTATAAAGCGAGAGAGGCGAGAATGAGAGAGTGGCGAGCGAGACTTCTGGGAGAGAGACGCCTGGCAAATTTTTGCCAATGTTTGCTATGGAGCACAATTAAATCAAACCCTAGCTATTCTATTTAATTTAGATTATTAGTTTGCTATTATATACAATTTTCCCTTCAATTTTCAGCAAAAAAAAAGGCATTCCTTCTTTGACTGCTAAGAGTTGCTTATTTTATATCTTCATTCAGCTAATACTAATTTCATACAAAGTCATTTAACTTTCTTTTATATCTCAAAGTCACTCAACTATTTTTAATATATTATTTAGAAAGTCACCCAAAAAATTAAAGGACCTTTTCACTAAATTATTTTGAAATATTTTTTTGTTTTAAAGTAATTTCTTTTTTTAAAAAAAAACATTTCATTTTAATTATTTTATTAAATTTTGTTTTAAACCATCTTTCTTTTTTGGGATAATTTATTTATTTGTGAGGTAAACAAGTTGTCAATGAACATTTTGATGGTGGATGGATCATTGAAGAAATGTGACTTTTGTTGGTTAACCTTGAAGTGTTGCTCATCAATCACAAAATAATAGTAAATAACTGACTATGACTTGAACATAAAACTGGAAATATCTTTTATCTTACAAACAGAAAATTCATTCTGATGTGCTAATTCAGGTACTCTTGAATTACATGTTTTATATTCTTAATGTGTACTAACTGGATCCAATTTCCACAATTCACCATTCAAAGACAGAATCATCATACAGAACACGATTCTTTACAGACACATATTTATCTTACTCATACAGTGTTCGGATTGAAAAATCTTGGGAGTAGGTATAGCCACCAGAGGTACTTTTTTCTTCAGAACAATCCCAAACTTCTCTGTAAGGTCTAATGTCTCTCCTTCGGGCAATTTCCAGTCGAAAGAATGAATGAGTGAAGCCAGTGAATACATGAAAATCCTCTCTGCCATGACTATCCCCGCGCAGATTCTCCTGCCAGAGCCAAATGGGAAGTAGTTGACATCATTTCCATTATCATCCCATTTATTGTCGAAAAATCTCTCTGGACAGAACTCTCTTGGATTTTTCCAGATAGAAGGATCTCTCTGTATAGCCCATACATTTACGAAAACACGAGATCCATTAGGAACAGTGTATCCTCCTACAGTACATGTCTCACTAGGACAATGTGGCACCAAGAGTGGAAGAGTTGGATGTAAACGCAAGGCTTCTTTCACAACTGCATAAAGATCTATATGGTAATTGCTGAATATGAGACTCTTTCACAATATTATCTTTTCCCACAACTACCTCTAGTTCTTGTTGTAACTTCCTCAGGACGTATGGTTTGTTCATAATTTTAGCCATGGCAAACTAAACCGCGTTGGAGGTTGTGTCAGTTCCACCAACCACCATATCCTGTCCACAATATTTGTGAAGTTATTAACAAATACTGTATATTGGATTTCAGTTCATGGTTCACTGCCTTAATTCACAGTTATGTCTTCCTTAATGCAATCCAATAAAAAGGTAGCAATTAACAGTTCAGAACATGAATTAATATAAACCTGATTCATCTAATATATTTTACTCATCTGATGTAATAATTCTTCAGTACATTTACTATCCTATATTTCACTTTTATTTGCATTGATCCTCTTATTATGAATAACATCACTACAAACCAAATTTTTTTTCTGTAATAGGTAAGGAATTAGACTATTTGAAGTAAAATGCAAACTTTGAAACCAGCACCATATCAAATGAATGTGAATTTTCATAGAAGAAGAATGAAACAACAGCTCAGCTCACGACAAAACTTTACGAATAAAACATACCATAAGTAAGGCTTTGATTTCAATCATGGTCAGAGGCATTTTGGCATCTGATTCATCTTTTAACTTCAGCAAAACTTGCAAAAATTCCTTGCTTTCTTGGCCAACACCAGTTCCCATCTGATCAGCAATTCAATCCATTTTCTGTCTTTGATCAATCATGCTCTCAAATATCTTATCATATCTCTTTTCCAATACATTCATCTTCTTTGTTACACCCTTCAAATTGAACCTGGCCAAGCCCGGATAAAAATCGGAAATATTTGGAGTACCTAACAGCTCAGTCATATCAGCTACAACATGCTGCTCCAAGTCTAGAGCTTTCCTCACCCTTCACTGTCCCACCCCATAACATGCTTGTTATCACATTAAGCGCAGTCAAGAACATCTGTTCACCAATATTCACAGGCGATCCCGCCTGATTATAAAAGTAATTGATCGATTGCTAAGCTCCCTTTTCCTTAGTGCATAAACAGAATCTAAAGTTGAACCAATAAACATACGCCATTTCGGTCCGTAAGGATTCCAAACTATGTCCTTTCCACCATATGAAGATTCTTTACAAGCAGCAGGTACATCTCTGTTAGCAAAAATGGTATCTTGATTCTTAAGCACCTCGCAAGCTAAGGCAGGTGAAGTAACCAAGCCAGAGTCTACAAATGGGCCCATAAGTTTGGGAAAGAGATGCAAAATAGGTGTGAAGTTGGGGATCAAGAGAGTGGAGATTACCTAGCAAAGGCAAAGCTTTAGGCCCATAATGGCGGTTGTCCCTTTTTTGACTTGTTGATGTAAAAACAAAGAAACCATATTAAAGCTAAACTGCCAAGAACATAGGAGAAAAATACACCACTTTTCTCAATATTTTGTTCTTGCCAGGGCCATGGGAAAGAATCACACAAAGGTTTGAAGAATTTTAGTGACATTATATCAGCCTAAGAGAAAAATGAGAGAAATGGCAGAAACAGTGTGGTGGGAAGCCATTTTCCACTTCAACATTTATATTTAGTGATGAAGTCAATGGCCCCTTGTTGTTTAACACAAATGAATCTTCACTTTTTGATACCTTGTCTGTCCTGTTCACAAGACAAATAAGAAAATAGTATTAAATTAGGTATATATTGAGCACAAATATGCTCTTTAAAATCCTTTTCAGGATGTCATAGCTTTTAGAAATAATTTCACACATCTTGCTCCAGGTTTTGCTTAGTAATAATAATTGCCCTTGTAAATTTAAGTATTATATCTCCATATATAGTTCATCAAACAAAAGATAGAAGCATAATCTCTACAATAAAGTCATACATGTACTATTATTTCAAATTCGATTCAGAATACAATATTTAAGAAGTCATGGAAACTAGGCATTTCACATGGAACATTGAGTTGCTCATAAGACCATTGCCAGGATAGAGCAACATCTTTCATTGATCACATTTCCATAGTTCATCACACAAAAGATAAAATCACCATGCAGAAGCGACTCTTTACAGACATATTTCTATCTTACTCATAGAGTGTTGGATTGGATAATCTTGGAGTAGGTATAGCCACCAGAGGCATTTTCTTCTTCAGAACGAGCACAAACTTCTCTGTAAAGTCTAATGTCTCTCCTTCAGGCAATTTCCAGTCAAAAGAATGAATAAGTGAAGCCAGTGAATACATGAACATCCTCTCTGCCATGGCTAACCCCACACAGATTCTTCTGCCAGAACCAAACGGGAAGTAGGTCAAATCATTTCCACTGAAGTCCCATTTATTCTCCATAAATCTTTCCGGATGGAACTCAGTTGGATTTTCCCAAATAGAAGGATCTCGATGTATAGCCCATACGTTTACGAAAACACTAGATCCTTTAGGAACAGCATATCCTCCAACAGTGACTGTCTCACTAGGACAATGAGGCACCAAGAGTGGGACAGCTGGATATAGACGCAAGACTTCTTTCATAACTGCATACAAATACGGCAAGTGTTGTATATGAGACTCTTCCACTATGTTATCTTTTCCCACAACTGTATCCACTTCTTGTTGTAATTTCCTCAAGACGTCTGGTTTGTTCATAATTTCAGTCATGGCAAACTCAACTGTGTTGGCACTAGTTTCAGTTCCACCAACAACCATATCCTGTCCATAGTATTAGTGAAGTTATTATCATGCACAACGATTTTTTATTTATGAAAATATAGTGTAAGCAGCAAATTTGAATGCACAATTAATAAAACATACCGTAAGTAAGGCTTTGAGTTCAGTCATGGTCAGAGGCATTTTGGGATCTGCTTCATCTTTCAACTTCAGCAAAACTTGCAAAAAGTCCTTGCTTTCTTGGCCAACCCCATTTCTATTCATTTTTTGTCTTTGATCAATCATGCTCTCAAATATGTTATCATATCTCTTTGCCAACACTTTCATCTTCTTTTTAACACCCTGCAAATCAAACCAGGCCAACCCCGGGTAAAAATCGGAAAGATTTGGAGTAACTAACAGCTCATTCATCTTAGTCACAACATCCCTAACCTCTGCCCCAAGAGTAGCTCTTTCCTCACCCTTCACTGTGCCACCCCATAACATGCTTGTAATCACATTAAGTGCAGTCAAAAACATCTGTTCACCAACATTCACAGGCGATCCTGTCTGATTATAAAAGTAATTAATCGATTGTCTAAGCTCCCTTCGCCTCAGTGCATAAAGAGAATCTAAAGTAGAAGCACTAAGCATTTCTTGAACACAAACCTTCCTCAACATACGCCACTTAGGTCCATAAGGAGTCCAAACTATGTCAGTTCCACCATATGTAACTTCTCTACCAGCAACACTCACATCTCTGTTAGCAAAAATGGTATCTTTATCCTTAAGAACCTCGCGAGCTAAGGCAGGGGAAGTAACAATAATCCCAAGTTTTTTACCAAGCCAGATTCTACAAATGGGGCCATAAATTTTGGAAAGAGATGCGAAATAGGTGTGAAGTTGAGGTTCAAGAGAATGGAGATTACCTATCAAGGGCAAAGCTTTAGGCCCTGGTGGCAGCCCCTTGTTTGAGTTGCTGATGAAACACCAAAGCAAAGCTAAAAGACAGGAGAAAAGCACCCCCTTTTGCTCAATATTGAGATCTTGCAGGGGCCATGAGAAAGAATCAAACATGAATTTGAGAGACATTATTTGTGGATAGTAAGTAGGAAATGGAAAATGGGAATAGCCTTTGAAGGAAAGAACCAAAGAGGATGCCCCACATACTGTTACATCATTTCATCATAGAGATAACTCTTGTGTTGCTGGCACTCCAGAATGTTTCTGCAATACTTTAAGATCCTCCAAATAAAAAATGTTAAGACACCAACTCCACAAGTGCTTACTAACTACACCAACATAGTGTCATAGTATAATTATACATATACTATTTGAATACATAACTCTAATAATAAAAAGTATATTAAGTTTTAGAAATAAACATGGCATAAGAACATACATTAATAAAAAATTACATGAAATCACATAAGTAAAAGCTGAGAATGATAAACAAATATAAAATAAACTCTTAAAAAAAGTTTAGAATAATAAAAATAAAAAATAAATCAAGAAAATAATAATTGATATTGAATTTATCATTTTACCCTATTAATAATTTAACACCACACACACACATATATATATATATATTAAGTGTTCGTGCCAGCGCGGCCCAGCGTATGATAATTATTTTCTTCCAATTTATGTGACATGAATGAAAATTGAAAAAAGAACTAATTTTTTATATGTGTTTTTTTACAAAATATTTTAAATTGTTAATGTATGTACCTTTTATGTCATTTTTAAATAATATATGTTATTCCATCTGTTTCATTTTATATGATACAAGTGATTTTAGGAAAGTCAATGAATTTCTTATATGATTCTCACATATTTTTAGTTGTCATTTTACTGTGATTCATAGTACTTATTAGTTCTTACTTCATTTTCAAACAATATATGCAATTTTCTTTTGTTTAGATAAAAATAAAGGAATCAACCAAATTTCATTAAGGTTTTTAATTATGTTTTTCTAAAAATATCTTGAGTTGTTACATTGATATGTTAAGCTTTTTTTTTAATTAAATTTTAAATATGCAACAAATTAGAAATTAAAACGAAGAATTAAAGTTTTCAAATCATTATATTTTTATATTAAAATATTCAAATCTTTAAAACTCCACATATATGCACAAATTAATAGAAGGAAACCAAAAGAATTTTTTTAAAAAAAAATATGAAAGCTCATTTTAATAATAACACAGATATATTTCATTTTTAATTTATGATCCCTCCTTTTCAATATATATGAACTTATTTTTTTATTTCATCTCAAAAAGAAAAAAACTTCTGAATTTTGATTTTTTTTATATCGCATAATTAAGATCACAAAATTTAAAAGTATTTTTAATACACAAAATTTAAATATACATATAAATTTTAGTTTTATTTTTGATTGATTTCATCTAATATTGTATTTGATATAGAATTATTAAGAGCTAATTGTAATCATAATTTATTTACTTTCATATAATGAATAAATATCACAATAATTCATAAAAAAATGGAGAAATACCAAAAATGAGGTAATACTAATAAGGGAAAATTTTATATATGGCAAACTTATTAGATTAAATAACATTATATGGGTATAGTTTACCTAATTACATAATATAGGTATAGTTAAGTTATTAAAGGTGTCTTTAATTTTGTATATAAATTTTTTTATTATTATTTATACAATTCTATTTTAAAGAGTTGTTTGTAACTGAAGCATTAAATATGGTAACAATAAATCAAGATAATGCCACAATTTTAGGGAAACGTCCCTATTTTCAAGCCATACGTTCAAATTCAAAAAAAAAATTCTGTTTATAATAAGTCATGTACAAATTAATTTCTGTATATACATACCTACCTATATATACAAAAAAAATCAAAAAAAAAGTCATTCACAGATTATTTTCTATTTATATATATGAACTTACCTTTTTTGTATATGGTATATACTAGCACGTATTCAATGTCTTTTATTGTATATGCACATCCAATTAGATTGCAATAAATATACATATACAATCTTATTGAATAAATATATACATGTACAAAAATGCATTTTACAAATTTGTATAACAAGAGATATATGTTATTCAGGTTTTTAATTGTATATAATATATACTAACACTTATTCAATGTTTTTATTAATTGTATATGCATATTCAATACATTATATTCGATAATTTATATATAACTACTACAATATACAAAATTATAATCACATATGATATTTTCCCATCTATATACAATCCCTACTACCAGCTATTAAAACAGACATGTACATATCAATTTTTGTATATGTATGAAAACTTAATATATACTAACTTCAAAAATTTGTATATAACTAATAGAATATACAAATTCTAATCATATATTCAATTTTTCCATCTGTATAACTAAGTCCAATTACTATTTTGTATATATATACAAAAACAAAAAATAACATAAATATGCAATATACTATATACAATTACTCACATGGAACATACTATATACAATACTTAATTTAATGGTTTTTGTATATTGACAACTAATTAACAAAAAAATTGTATCTAAATTTGTGTTTTAAGACACTACCTCATGATTATGAAGTTCTTCAGATCCGACTTCACAATCATTTTCCTCTGATTCAAATAGTACAACTTTCCTCTTTCTTGTACCTTGTACAATTTTAATGCCTCTAGCTTTGGCATTTTTAATAACTTATTGAACTGCCATAGGGTCGTTTTTTTTCTTTGATTTCAGCTCTTCCATGGTTTGTTCTTGTATAAGTTATTTTGATTTTCCCAAATACCCTACATTAACCCCAAATTCTTGAGTTAGTCCCATTGAAAAGGATGGTAAAATGTCAACAACATTGACATGCAAAGGACTACCTCTGGTAATCCTCAAAGATGTAGACGATTCGTTCATTGTTTGACGAATTTTAGATCTATCAAGAACAAAAAAACGATTATTTCATCAAAATATATGAAGAAAAAAAAACAAAACACATATACAATTTTTAGATAAGTTAGAAAAAAAGGTAAACAACTAAAATTAAGGATAACTTACGAAATTGACTTCAACTTAGGGAGGAGACTTCAACTTCAGGAGAGATTACTGAAATTTTGGACAAAAATTCAAAATTCAAATCTGATATTGGAGTATTAAATGTAGGAGAAGACGTTAGAATAAGGAAAGGAGAGAGAAAATTAATTGTGAATAGGAGAGAGAAAATTAGATTGTGTATAATTATATACAAAATTAGAAAATAAGATTTTTATACAATTGGTTACATAATAGGTTGTGGGCCCCCATTAATTATAGCAAAATAAAATAAACTATAATTATATAATGTAAATAAATTAAACTATACCCCTAATATATAATTAGTTATGAATGTTTGCCATTTCATATAATTTTCCCTACTAATAATAATAACTAAAGATGTTTCTAGAACCATTTTAATTTTTTTGTTATTGGCAGATTTTGTTTGCATAGTTATATTTTTCTAACATTTGATCATCATTCACTTCATATATAGAAAGATGTTTCTAGAATTATTTATTTTGATAGATTTTTGTTAGAATGAAATTACATTTTAATTCTTAGTCGTCTTTAATACAAGTATATCATCCTATTCATTTTTATTTGTAAAATTACTTTTTAACATTTTTTTCTTTAATTTTAATCTAATATATTATTAATTTTTATCACACTTATTTTTTTTTCAAGTATATTAATTAGAGCCAAAATAAAGATGGAAATAATTAATTCATGATAAATTTTTATGTAAAAAGGAGGCATTTTTTGATAAGCATAATTAATAGAAAAAAATATTAAGAATTAAACAAAAGTAATAGCAAAATAGAGTAATAACAAAATAGATATCACAATAACTCATAAAGAAAAGATAGTGAAGTAATAACAATAACTTAAGATGTTTCACAACTATTTAATTTTCTTGTTATCATTCTAGGTAGAATTTTGTTAGTGCAAAATTATATTTTTACCCTTGATCATTATTCACTTTATATAAAGAAAGAGATTTCTAGAATTGTTTATTATCTTTCTTAATATATTTTTGTTGGAATAAGTTACATTTTTGCCCCTGATCGTCCTTCCATTCTCTCTTCTATATAATAGAGAGAAAAAAAATATTAATAGAAAAATATTAACTATTCAAACACATTTTATTTTAATTAGTTCAAAATTTTCTTTCAAAAGTATATAAAAACAAGTTTAATATTCATTATTGTTTGTAAGAAGTTAATTAATAGAAACTCTTTATTTTAACAAAATTACAATAATATCCTTATGAGCCCAAAATAAAAATTAAGACATTTATGAATTATTTTAGATTTTTCATTTTGACCATAAATACACAATTATTATTTTGTCTTAAATGATGTTAAAATTATTAAAATGTTATTGATCGTCCTTCTCGTGGCTCTTCTCTATAGTAGTAATATAAAAAGGAAGTAAGCAAAACCACAATATGAACATACCTTCTCAATCCTAATGCTGCTTCAAACTTCAAAGGAGAGAACCCATGAAACAACTATTGGTTCCAATTTGTTTTTTTCAATTAGAGATTTTTTTAAACTAATACAAAAGTATATAATTTAACTAATCTGTCCTTTACGTATACTTTTTTCTACTTAGTTTCCTGAACGTGCGTTGCAGATACAATTATTATAAAGTTGAATTATTCTTAAAAAATATTGAACTTAAAATATTAGTTTTATCAATTTATATTTTATTCATTAAATAAAATTCATAATAATCGAATATTACATTGACCATCAAGCAAGAAATATGAGAAAATAATAATATTATTATAGCATCTAGTAATATGAATATATCTATATGACTAATCCTTAATAATCTCTCATTATCCTTCATATAGTTTACACAACTATGTATCTATTTAAAGAAACTATATCAATAAGGAAAGGATAAAATAAAAAACATATTATAAAAGTACATTTAAAAATGAATATAAAAGTCATAAATTAGTAATTTAGCACTAATAAAAATAGACTTATAATATTCATAATTTCATAGTAGATTAAATTAAATAAGTATAAATCGGTAAAGAATAAAAAAAATTAAACAGATAAGAACAAATACAACATTCATATCTTTCTTAAGACTTTAATTATAACAATATATATCGTAAAAAGAATTACATAAAGAGTAGAGTTCTTGATGATACCTTCTTATGATACAAAATATCATT